CCTTCCAATTTTCCATTTTATTTTCTTTTTATACGACGACTTGGTTAAACGGGAAAAGAAGGGCGCAGCTCTTGGGCGGACAAGATGAAGTAATGCACTTTTCTCACCTTTGTCAGAGACAACGGACCGCCCATATGTTTTGTAGAAGATTTTAACCTAGATTCTAGCCTGACACTTCGGAGAACTATTCTGTAGTTTGTAGTCGTTGAAATTTCCAGCATTTCCAGCCGAAAACGACCCGGATAGCTCAAAAACTAGCCGAGTTACGGCGATTTAAAGTTTTACTGAGGCTTAAAAGTTGTTATAGTTTGTAGTCGTTTAGCCTCAGGAAAACTTGAAATCGGTGTTATCCAATTTTCCTTGAAAATTACCCACTTAAGTGCACTTTTTAATTTTCTTCACCGCAAATGCTTCTTTTTTTTTTGGACTTATAATTTTGGCCCAAAATTTTTCTTAATTCAATAAATTTGTAGCCGCTGAAATTTGCAACATTTCTAGCCAAAAAACGACCCTGATAGCACGAAAACGAGCCGAGTTAGCGCGCTTTGAAGTTTTTACTGAGGCTTAGCAAGTTGTTATAGTTTGTAGTCGGTTAGCCTCAGTAAAACTTCTCAACGCGTTGTATCTCGGCTCATTTTTATCCGTTTTCATTCACTTTTGATCATTTTTTTTTGGATTTTTGTCTAAATTTCGAATTCTGAAATAAAAATTCTTCAATTTACCTTGAAAATCCCTAAAAGTCGGGGATTTTTCAAAAGCCTTTGATTTTTTCTAAGAAAATGTTGTTTTTGGGGATTTTTTTTTCAGAATTCCACTATATTTTTCCCCGATTTCTCTCATTTTATCCAGCTCTTCCAGCAATTCCAGTATGCCCATTTAAGTTTCAGAATCTTCTAGAATTGTCTCTTCACATTTTCGCTCGAGTAACTCTATCAAACAAAGTCTCCCTCCCTTTTGCTCCGCGCGCAATGTTTTTTTTTCCAAGAAAAAAGTGACCACAAGAGAGAAATGAATGAGTAGTCAGTGAGCAACAAGAAGACAAGACAAAAAATGCCTCCTCATCCTCGCCCATCCGCGTATCTCTCTTTTCGAGGTTCTTCCGTCGCCGCGCGGCTCTGCGCTTGCTCATCACAATCCACTCGACACTCCTCCTTTCGTCGTCCCACCCGCGTGTGTCCATCCCCCCGAAGTCCACTTGATAATAATAGTAGTAGTAACCAAAGTGTCTTCCTTAGCTATGCGGACAAAAAACAGAAAGAAATCACCGACAAAAGACTGATGGATGGGCACCTAGAAGTTCAAGTACCCCCTTTTAATTGGTCAATTTGAGGTGAAAATCGCTAAAAACGATCGAAAATAGCGTTAAAGCGTTTTTCGATATTTTCTGAGCTTAATTTTTGTGGCTTTGTTGTGCTGAAAAATCAAGCTTCCGAGCAAGTTCCACGTGGCATTTTGGCAGAATTTAGAAATTTTTGAAGATCTCTAGCAAGCCAAATTGTGACCGCGCTGTAATTTCCAGCATTTTTAGCCAAAACCGGATCTTATAGCTTCGAAACTAGCCGAGTTATTGCGATTCGAAGTTTTACTGAGGCTTAGAAAGTTTTTATAGTTTGTAGTCGATTAGCCTCAGTAAAACGTCAACGCGTTGTAACTCGGTTCATTTTCATCCGTTTTTTTTCTTTTTTCAGCTCTAAATTGGAATTTTTCTAACTTTTTGATTTCTAACTGAAAAATCCTGATATTTTTCCTTGAAAATCACTAAAATTCGGAGAGTTTTCAGAATCCTTCAATTGAAAGCTGTGTTTTTTCTCACTTCAAAAATATTGTAGTTTGTAGCCACTGAAATTTCCAGCGTTTCTAGCTGAATACGACTTTTCTAGCTGAAAAACTAGCCGAGTTACAGCGTTTTGAAGTTTTACTGAGGCTTAGGGGTTCTTGTACTTTGTAGTCCGTTAGCCTCAGTAAAACTTCAACGCGTTGTAACTCGGCTCATTTTCATCCGTTTGCATTCGTTTTTGGTCTTTTTTTTGTATTTTTTTCTAAATTTGGAATTCGGAAAGAAAAAACTTTAAAAAACCCTTTAAAAAATGGCAAATTTGCTCTACTGCAATTCTTGATCTACCCTAAACGCTTCGATGTAAATAGCTCCTCTTGACCCATTAGACTTGGCGGCTCTAGTTTTTTATCCTTTGTTTCCTTCTCCTCTCAATTTTTTGCCCTCTTCCTAGCCTTCTGACAACGACATCTCCTAACAAGATTCCTCTTTTTCCCTTTCTCTCTCATCCGACGTTTTTTTGCCTAGTACTTTTTACCCGGAGAAGCATTACAGATGTCTTTTGTCATCGTCGTTTGACTGCCTTCTCCTTTTTCTTTTGCCTTTTAAAACCTTGATAATGGAATGGAAGACGTCGTCAGCGTATTCGTTTTTCCACGTTTTAGAATTCAGAAGACGTCGGTGGTTTTATGCAAAACGTGGCGGAGAAAAGAGCAAAAGAGGAGAGTAAATGGGTGGTCCCTAAGAGTTTTGCGGGAGGGAAAGGGCGCGGGAATTTCCGCTTTTCGACTAATTTTCACTAGCGATTTTCACACGCACACCCCGAAACTCTGAAACTTCAGAATCCTCGCCTAGAATTCGCCATTTATTACTTCTTGACCTACTTTTAGTAATTTGGAATTATTTTGAAACCTTTTGAGATATGAATTTCGCAATGCATTCTGAGAGCTGTGAACTATTTTGTAGTTTGTAGCCGCTGAAATTTCTCATATTTATAACAAAAAACGATCCTGATAGCTCAAAAACTAACTGAGTTATAGAGCTTTGAAGTTTTACTGAGGCTTAGAAATTGTTATAGTTTGTAGTCGGTTAGCCTCAGTAAAACTTCAACGCGGCATGATTTCTAGCGTTTTTACTCGTTTTTGACTCTACATTTTTAGATTTTTTTTAAAATTTCGAATTCTGAATAGAAAATTCTAGATTTTTCCTTTAAAATCCCTGAAATTTGGGGGAATTTTAAAATATTTTAAAATCTGGAAATTATTATTTTTAACTTTAAAAATTTTGTAGTTTACAGTCACTGAAATTTCCAGCATTTCTAGCCGAAAACGACTCTATTAGCTTGAAAACTAGCCGAGTTATAGCGCTTTGAAGTTTTACTGAGGCTTAGCATTCTTTGTACTTTGTAGTCGCTAAGCCTCAGTAAAACTTTAACGCGTTGTAACTCGGCTCGTTTTCATCCGTTTTCATTGATTTTTGGCTAATTTTTTGGAATTGTTTTTCTAAAATTTGAATTCTGAGTGAGGAATTCTACAAATTTTCTTAAAAACTTAAGATTTTCGCATTTTTTTAAAAATTAGCTATTTCAAAACTTTTGCCTCTCCAACAAAAAAAACCACACCAACTGGTTTCCTGACACATCTTCTTCTCCTCCGAGCCAATCCATCTCAATAATGTCTGTCCGCCTCTCTTCAGAGTGTCGCGCGCGGACGGGCGAAAAAACGGCCTCCAAACCGATTAGCGGTGTCGTTACCCCCCCCCCCCCCCCCCAATCTCTGCGTCTCTTCTCTCTCACCCTCTGCTCTACCTGTGCATTTTCTCTGCGTCTCTCCTCCCTCTCTCCCCCATATACAGTCCGCCACACTATCGGTCATCTCGGGTCCCCCCATCCGCGCACACTCCTATTTCTTACCTTTGTTAGTGGGCGTGGCTTATAGCCTGCTGGACACTCTCTCGTTTGTCTGCGTCTCTTCAAATTCCACACTCTTTCGCTCTTGACCGAGCGCGCGCGCATCCCTCCCTACTCTGTTAGTTCTGTATCTCTTCTTCTTCTATTTCTCTTTTTCTTCTTTTTGGTGGAGGAGAAGAAGAAGAAGAAGACATACACGTTTATACTCTATCTCCCTCCTTAGAGTCTCTCTCTCTCTCTCTCTGCTACTTTTCATTCATCCCAACAAATCTCTTCTCTTTTTTTTTATATAAAACTCTTTTGCTACTTTTTAGCCATTTTTAAAAATACATTCTTGATCTACCTAAAAACCTTTAAAATTTGTCAAAAAAATTTGACCTACTTTTTCTGCACCATTTTTTTTTGTCCTTCAGCTCAATGAATCTATTTTTTGACCTCCTGAATTTCGTAGAATAAGAAATTTGACCTACTTTTTAGACGATTTTCTCATACATTTAGAATCTCATATATTCAAAACTAATGAAAATTTCATGAATTTTGAGCTAGAAATCGTTAAAAACGGTTCCAAACTAGCCGAGTTGGAGCGTTTTGAAATTTTTACTGAGGCTTATAAGTTTTTGTAGTTTGTAGCTTTTTAGCCTCAGTAAAAACTTCAAACTGCGATAACTCGGTTATTTTTGAACCGTTTTCGATCGTCTTTGAATGAAAATTCACATGTTCCGCTTTTTTAATTGAAACTACAAACTACAAGAGTTAGCCTCAGTAAAACTTATTTTTCCGCCGTTTTGAACGCATTTTGACTCAAAATTCGTGATTTTTTTTTCGTTTTTTGAGCTCAAAATTGTGTAGTTTGCAGGCCTATTTAATTTTTTTAGCTCTAAAAAATTTTCCTGCCGAAAAAAACGAAAAATTGCACTTTTTGAGTAATCTGGCGCCTTCGAAACCCCGTGCTAAAATCCCGTTAAACTCTCACTTTTTCGGGTTTTATGCAAAATTTCGCTATTCTCACATCAATTTTTTTGACACTGTTTGACCCATTTTCAAGTCAAAATTTCTCTGTTTTTTACTAGATTTTGGTTGTCTTCTGCAATTTTTCAGTCATTTAGGTGATTTCGATAGTTTCAAGCTTATTTTAATACATTTTTAGATTTGAAGCTTAAATTACTGATTTCTTATCCCTTGTTCATTGTAATAGGTTACAACATTTTAAGAACATTTTTTTCTCTATTTCTCTGGCTCCCTCTTGCTCTCTAATTCTCTCTTGAAAATTCTCTGTTTTTTCAGTAGAAAGTGCGTCTAACGCAAAAGTCGGCCTAGCCGCACTCAAAACAACATCAGAACAGCAACAACATCGCCAGGAAAAGAACCCAAAAAAAACCCAAAAAATCTCAAAGCCTAGTGTCACCTAACCCCCCTTCTAGGAAACATCCCGGAGAGTAGACATCGGGACACGCTGACAAACATAATTTCTAGCCACTCGACTACGAGGATCCGTCACAACGTGACGGCTTCTCGCTGCGGATTCGCGTCTCCGACGGACGACACGATGCTGAAGCGGCGTGCCACGTGGCACTCGTCGATCGCAACGACCACGCGCCACACATTCACGGAGCCACAGAGCACAGAATCAGAGAAGACGTGCCGAGAGGAACAGTCATCGGACAGTACACGACGAGCGACAAGGATGCCGGTGACGTGGCAAGGTAAAGGGGGGCTCTGGGTGACACTATTGGGGTTGGTGGCGCTGATGGGTTGTTTCATTGGTCATGCGGAGGCGTTTACGGACCTTTCGCTGCCATTCGGACTTGAACCATCGGTTGCCAAGTCGCGGTTCTCATCGCTTGTCGGTGGAGTCCGTGCCAGGGATATACATGTGTTTGTGATGAAAAATATCAGTGAGGATACGCCGGTCGGAACGGTTCTTGAGACTTTTAAGGCTCACGATCCGAGTAATCCAATGTACAACTTCTCGTAAGTCTTTTTTTTTGGGTGAGACGGGTGGGATTATAAATTTTACCGAAAATAGAATAAATTTCCAACATATCTATCCAAAAACGAGTTTTCTAGCTGGAAAACTAGCCGAGATACAGCGGTTTTACGTTTTACTGAGGCTTAGAGTTTTTGTAGTTTGTAGTCGCTAAGCCTCAGTAAAAATGTTCAAGCTTCACGTGAAAATTCGTTAAACTTTTAATTTTCACGTACGTTTTGAAGATTTTCCTGAGGCTTAGCAATTTATGTAGTTTGTAGTCGCTGAAATTTCCAGCATTTCTATCCAAAAACGACTTTTCTAGCTGAAAAACTAGCCGAGTTATAGTGCTTTTAAGTTTTACTGAGGCTTAGAGAATTTTCGTAGTTTGTAGTCTAAGCCTCAGTAAAAATTTTACGTGAAAAAAAATTCTTTCAAATTTTAATTTCCACGTATTTTTTTCTCAAATTTTTCACGTGTTAAAAAAATCTTGAGGCTTAGCGTTTTGTAGTTTGTAGTCGGTAAGCCTCAGTAAAAAATACAAACCGCTATATCTCGGTGATTTCTGAACCGTTTTCGATCGTTCTTGGCTGGAAATTAGTCAAATTTTCTGCTAAATACAAACTACAAAATTTCCTAAGCCTCAGTAAAAATTTCGAATCGCTATAACTCAATTATTTCTGAACTATTTCGAAGCCATTCCCTCATTGATTTTTGTCCTCCTCGATTTCAAAACGTTTCCTCGGCTTTTCCCTTTCGTTTGAAATTTTCTAAAATCGTCCCCCGATGATGATTCATCAGATAGTTATCCTTCATCTTCTTCTTCATCTCATCGGAAGACACATCATTGGAATTTCTGCCTCCTCCTCCGCGTTTTTATGGAAATTATGAATCCAAAAGTTTGAAGTCGTCACAAAGAGCGATGACAGTTTGATGATGTGACAGTAGAATAAGTAGAAACTGTCATTTTGGATTTTTGTCAAAAAACGGTTTTTCGTCGTCTTTTTGATGATGATCTACTTTGCATATATACGCCAGCCGCATAGTATTCGGCCATTTTCGCGCATTTTCCGTCTCCTATAGTGTCTTGTTTCGGGGGGTAATGGTGACCTCGTTCGTCTCCTTTGGCTTCCCCGTTTTACCTACATTTTGGGTGGAAAGAGAGGGGGTGACTTTGGTGGTTGGGAGGTTTTGTTTGGCCGTTTCTCTCTCTCTCTCTCTCTACCACTGGCGGCTGCAAAAAGGTGGTGGCCTTGGAATTTGCTGGCCCCAGAAGAAGCCCCAGAAGAGGACAGGTGCTAAAGGGAGGGATCTAGAAAGGATCTAGGAGAATCTAGAAGAATCTATAATGATCTGGACAGCTTGGCTGATCTAGTAGGAGTTTGAGAATCTTCGATATCTTGAAAACCTGATCCTTTTCAAATTCCAAACAGTTTGGGCTTTTCTGGGCCTGCAGACCATACCCTATTCTAGAAAGATGGATTCTAGACGTCTTGGCTACTTGAACTAGAATTTTAGAAGACAGCAGAAATTTGGATTTCCAATCCTAACGTTATCTAGTCTAGACAGATGCTCTACCACCTGGCTGTCTCAAAAAGTTCAGTGACCCGTAGAAGAGCCCTATCACACCAAAACCACACGAGTCTCTTTCCCATATTTGCACAGTTTTTGTCACATTTGAGTGACCTCCTATGGTTTTCTTTCGCGCGCACAGGAAGTGTGTATGTATAGAGATAGGGATCGTTAACTTTGGGATCAGTTTTTTAGAACTATTTTCAAGTGCTTTTTTAGATTCTCAAGCGAGTTACCTCAATTCGAGAGGGTTTAAAGGGTATCTGGGAGTCTATGGGTCTAGCAGATTGCTTAGAGAGCTCTGGAAGCTTGTAGATGCTCCAGAGAGCTCTGGAGGTTCCGCAGGCACCGATCTGAAGATCGAAAAAAAAATATTCCTGGATTCCTAGAGAAGGATTTTCAGAACCTAGAGAACTAGAAGATTGCCCTGGAAAGCTCTAAGGGCTCATATAGATGTTCTAGAGGCTCCGATCTCGTGATCCGAGGATGTCTGAGAGTCTAGGGATCCTGAACTAGGTCTTTAGAGTTCAACAGTCTAGGAGATGGGCCTAGCGAGCTCTAAAGGCTTATAAATCCTATCCTAACGGATTAGGGAGCGCTGTAGGTGTTCTCTAGGTGTTCATTGGATCCTCTCACAGCAGGATACTGGTGTCTTCGTCCTTGGAACCAAATCTTCATTCATTCGTTCAGAAGGAATTCGATCTCGTTAAGGGGGAACGGCTGACCTTCAAGGGAACACACATTGCCTCTTTCTTCTTTCAAATTGCTAAGGAATTACTATGTATATTCCCATGGAACGGGGAAGAAATTTTGACAAGTTGATTAGCGGTCTATTCACTGGTCATAACAGAGTCATAAGGTCCCCTCTCTTTAGCACAGGATAAGGATAATTACGGGTTTCCCACGCGTTCTCTGTTTCCATATGGAAAAGGTGGTGGACATGATAATTGAGGTGTCTCAGGGGGTGTCCATTGGAGCGAACTTGTTGATTTTCTGCTGCCAAGCCAACAAGAAGTCAGGAAGTGTATGTACTTGACGCTCAAGTGGATTATCGTAGTGGTGTAAAGTTGCGCCGCCCGGAAATGTTTCTGTTTCTTTGCGCGTCGCTGTTCGCCTGCCTCCTGAAGGTTTTTGAATCTGTGTCCTCGTCCTTGTAGGAGTCCTAGATCCTATATACATGTTGTTGGTGGGTGGGAATTGTTTACATGAAGAGAGAAGGGTGCGAGCATTTATACATAGGGGCAAAGAGTCAGTCGACTTCTTATTGTTTCTATTGGGAATCAAAGACATGAGGAAACTTGAGCGCGGGCCAATACAAGACAAAAGTTTTGGATGAAAGGGGGCGCAACTTGAACTTTGATTCATCTTGAACAGAGAGGATTTGGAATCTAGAATTTGGATCTTCAGAATTGATCCTAGAAGACGCTGGTACCCCCAACTAGCTGGAAAAGATGCCTAATTTGAGTTGGCATCTATAGCTAGTCAGCTATAGCTCAATAGCTAGCTATGGCCTAATTCGAGCTGGCAAGCTAGCTAGTTCAAAGCTTAAATAATTCCCTGGCACAATTAGCTTGATTGGCACAGGTAGCAAGTAGCTAAAGCCATGAACATTTTGAGAGAATAAGCTGAATAGCTTGAGCTAGCTTGTACTAGCTAGCTTTCTAGCTTGAGCTTGGAGCTTGGCGAGATTCAGGAGAGCACCTATTCAAATACACAAAGAACATGCATTCCTGTCTGTCTCCTCTCCTCCTCCGCTCTCTATTCCTTTCGATTCATGATAATTCTGTTTGCCGAACGACGTGAGCCATAGATTAGAGTGATAATAATAGGCCACCACCACCTTCCTTCGGCCGAATGTTTGTATTTTGAATCAAAAATCTTATATTTTTGAATTTCTTTGGCCATTTAAAGGGATCAAATTGGGTTCCAAAAGCGAGCTCGGCAAAATTTGACATGGTTTGGATTTTTGGACTTTTCTGAATTTGACGGGGTTTAATTGGGATCTGGAAGTTTCTGGAAGTGTCTGGAAGCTTTTAGAAGGCTCTGGAAGCTTTTGGAAGGCTCTGGAAGCTTTTGGAAGGCTCTGAATGCGTCTAGAAGCTTCTGGAAGACTCTGGAAGGCTCTCGAAGCGTCAGGAAGCTTATAGAAGGCTCTGGAAGCTTTAGGAATGCTCTGGAAGGCTCCGACTAGCCAATTCCACCGATTTTCAACCCTGGGATCCTCTCTGTTTTGGGTGCAATGGACGGATTAACTGTCCTAAGAGTGACCAGATGCCAGGGCTAATTAGGTGGTTGACTAGCACTCCACACACACACACACACACACAGAGACACTAGTCCTTATATAACGGAAACAAGTGTGTAATGGAGTGAATCCCCTTCGTCAGAATTGGGTTTTCCGGGGGAACATCTTCTTCTTTCTTCTGACATCTTCTTCTTCTTCTACTTCTACACGACTACTCTTCGTTTCGAAGTAGTACATAGTAGTGTAAGAAGTTATTGCATGGTTAATGAGGCTTGGGCCGAGCCAGGGGGGAAGAGAGAGGAAGAGTAATTACGCAAGTGTACACACGAACCTACTTTGAATTTGTATTTGGAGGTGAAGGGACATGTGTAAAATGATACTTTTACTGGGTCTAGAATGAACCTTTACTGACGCTTAGGAATCCTTGTAGCTTGAAAAAGCCTAAAATTTGACGAATTTCTAGCCAAAAACGATCGAAAACGGTTCAGAAATAACCGAGTTATAGCGATTTGAAGTTTTTGCTGAGGCTAAGCGACTACAAACTACGAAAAGTTGCTAAGCCTCAGTAAACTTTCAAAGCGTTCTAACTCGGTTACAACTGAACCGTTTCTAATCGTTTTTCGACACGAATCAGTGGAACTTTTTGCTTTATAGAGCTAGACTACAAACTACAAAAACTTTCTAAGCCTCAGTAAAACTACAAAAAGCTTGTAATTAGGTTAGTTTTCAACCGTTTCGAGTCGTTCTTCCATGATTCGGTTGTATTATTTGCCTAGTACCTCCTCTAACAAGCACACCTAGCACCTTCATGTCCTAGGGAACACGACACCTCTGTCCGCTCTTCTCCAATTGGCTATTCGTTTTGCTTGACCGCCGGCCGAATGCGCTTTTGCTTATACAAGCAAGGACATGGCCACTTGAGAAGGGTCAAATGGGGTGGGAGGATGGACACATTGAGGGGCCAAAAAAGTGATGGGAACTCGGGGAATTTGAAAAAATCATGAAAAACGACAAATTTTGAGCTAAAAACGATGGAAAACTAGCTGAATTACATTTTTTTTACTGAGGGTTAGCAATTTTTGTAGTTTGTAGTTTTGATCGAAAAACGCCGGAAATTTGACGAATTTCTAGCTAAAAACGGCTCGGAACGGTTGAAAACTAGTCGAGTTATGGCAATTTGAAGTTTTTGCTGAGTCTTAGACTACAAACTACAAAAATCTCTAAGCCTCAGTAAAAATTGAAAACGCTGTAACTCGGTTATTTCTGAACGGTTTTTGGTCGTTTTTTGACTGAGCGAAAATTCGTCAACTTTTCTTGTCGACTACAAACTATAAAATTTCCTAAGCCTCAGTAAAAAATATTCCTTTAGAAAAGTGCACACGTGCACTGGTTTTTAAAGCTATTCACACAGTTTTTAGTTAGAAATATTGGAAATTTCTCTGGCTACAAACTACAAACCCCTAAGCCTCAGTAAAATATTCACACATCACAATTTTTTTCAGATTCCGCATCAACCGTCAATCCGATCCGAAACGTCAGTTCACCATCGATCAAGATGGAACCCTTCGTGTTGCTCATTCCCTGGATCGAGAGGATATCGCAGTGTACAACTTGATTATAGAGGCTTATGATAATTGTAAGTTGGCGTGGCTGGGGCGCTTTTGGCGCGTTTTTTAGCTTAAAAATCGAAAATTGGGCATTTAAAGATATTTTCCAGCTACTTTAGCTCGAAACATTCATTATTTCCAGCCAAATAACTTGTTTTTTTTCAGCCAACAACATTGGCCGTCAAATGGTTGCTGTCTATCTTCAAGACGTGAATGACAACGGACCGGAGCCCTACACAGTGCCACGACCATGTATTTTCCGCGAAAATACTCCAGTCAATCAGTTGGGCACGTGCGAGATTCGAGCAACCGACAGAGATACGGCGTAAGCGTTTAATAGACTACAAACTACAAAAAATTCGAATTTCTACAGTGATTTTGAGCGAAAACTCATTTTTAGACCAATTTTCACAGACTACAAACTACAAAAACCCACTCAAAATCAATTTTTCAGTGAATTCGGGCCACCATTCACGATGGAAGTGTCGCCAAACTTCAAGTACAGTCAATACCTGAACGTGGTGTTCAATCCGAATGGAGACGGTGGAAATGGATCAATGACAATCACACCGCTTCAAGAATTTGATCGTGAAGCGCCGGTACCTGGAAAGATTCTGGAAATCCCGCTGGTTTTGGCCGATCGAGCTGGTAGAAGGAACGAGGCGTCGGTTCATGTCATTATTGGAGACTTGGTTTGTCTTTTTTCCTTTTTTAATGAGAATTTTGCGGTTTTTCACACTAATTTTGCGAAATATGTCTGGAAATTGGTCGTTTTCAGCTCAAAAACTAGCCATTTTAGGTTTCAAACCTCTAACAACAGACTATTGAGCTAAAAATGACGAAAAATAACTATTTTAAATTCTTACTGAGGCTTCGGGAATTGTGTAGTTTGTAGTTTGGATCCAAAAAAGGGAAACATTTGACAAATTTCGAGCCAAAAACGATCGAAAATGGTTCAGAAATGACCGAGCTATAGCCATCTGAAGCTTTTACTGAGGCTTAGACTACAAACTACAATAATTTTCTAAGCCTCAGTAAAAATGAAAAAAAAAAACTCATTTTTGCTCATTTTTTTTTCCAGTTTCGAGCAAAATTCGTGAAATTTTTTTCTCTTTATATTCGTGTAGTTGTCTGACAAGGCGAATTTTTAGTATACAATTGCTGAAAATTGAGCAAAAAAAAACACGAAAAATCGATATTTTGGCATGAATTCGTTTTTTAAAATTTCAAAATAGACGATTTTTCCTTGAAATTATTAATTTTAAACTCGAAAATTATCACTTTAAAGGTTAATTTTTGTCTGAATATTGGTCATTTTAGGCTTCCGGGCTTTTGGAATTCTGAATTTTCTAAAAGACGTCTCTTTTCTGAATAGATTTCTATAAATTTCCTTTTTCTCCATTTTCCGCTAGAAATAGGTTAACGATGCCTCCATGCCTCTATTTCTCCTTTTCTGTGGGGGTGTCAAACGACCTCAACGGGCGGCAGTCGGCCCCCCCGTAAAAAAGAAAAATGACCGTAATCCCTGCGACAATGACAAACTAAAGGGACATGGCCCCCTTGTTTTTTGGATGGATGCCGCGCTCTAATTTGTAATAACCGCCTTTGACCCCGTAATAGTAACACTAAATATATAGGGGATTAGAGAAATGAGCTTTTTTTTGGGGAAAATAGATTTTAAGCCATTTTTAGCACCTAGATTCCAAAAATTCCGTCGAAAATCTGCAATTTTAGCACCTGAATGGGGCTAATTTGGTTCTAAAATTTTAGGATTCGGATTTTTCATTAAAAATGTCCCCAAACATCCCATTTTGACATTGTAATTAGAGAGATATGGACCATCTGGGGGAAGAGGGGGGGGGGGACTTCGTAGAATATTCTTTCGGTTTTCTCCTGTTCAAAAAGTCAAGAACATCTTCTGAATGCTCTCCTGAATATGTAAATGTGATGAGATTTATGCAAATGTTTAGTGCTCTTAGCGTTCAGAAGACGTTAAGAAGAAGAAGACGTTGAGAATGACCTATCAGGCCAATTAGGGAAATGGCTTTGCCTAGCTTCCGTTCCAATTTTCCCGGGACCATCTTCTCTTTATTAATTTTTCAAAGAAAATGGGAAAATTGAAGACGGGGAGAGAAAAAACCAGAAAATTTGAAGAATTTCCAAAGAAAAACGATCAAAAACGGTTCATAAATCGCCGAGTTATCGCGATTTGAAGTTTTTACTGAGGCTTAGGAAATTTCGTAGTTTGTAGTCTAGATCATGAAACGCGGAAAATTTGACTATTTTCCATACAAAAACTATCGAAAACGGTTGAGAAATCGCCGAATTACATCGCTTTTTAATTTCACTGAGACTTAGGAAGTTTTCGTAGTTTGTAGTCGCTTAGCCTCAGTAAAAACTTCAAATCGCTACAACTCGGTGATTTCTGAGCCGCTTTTCGATTGTTTTCGACTCTAAATTGGTCACGTTTTCGGTTTTTTTGCTTATGGTCCGGGCTACAAACTACAAAGTTTTTCGAGGAAAAATGGAAATATTGAAGGGAAAGCTCTCGGAAATTCGCGCTAAAGGCGCCCCAGCCTCCCATAAATGTCATCAGAGGTGCGGCGAGCACTTCTTTGATGTCATATTCTTGTTAGACACACACCCACACATTTTTATTAGAATCACATCAAAAGAAGCGGCCCTCTTCCGATGACACTGAGAGAGGTGACAGAAAACAAATAGGACCCGCCATGCGCAAGAAAAAATGAGAATATTTATACGATGCGCATGAGAACAGGGGGTAAACATTGGGTTAAGAAGAAAGAAATTCACAGAAAAAATGAAGAAAAATGACGAAAAACTTTAAATTTTTACTAAGGCTTAGAAAAATTTGGTATTTTGTAGTCGACAAGAAAAGTTGACGAATTTTCGTTCAAAAACCATCGAAAACGATTGAGAAATGACCGAGTTATAGCGATTTGAAGTTTTTACTGAGGCTTAGAGACTACAAACTACAAGAATTTCTAAGCCTCAGTAAAGATTCTTCATTTTGTTTGTTCTTTACCGGGGCTTTTAACGTGTTTTATAGTTTGTAGTGGCCTAGCCTCAGTAAAAACACTTCCTAGAGCCAGGAGTTTACTGAGGTTTAGACTACAAACTATAAAAATTTGCTAAGCCTCAGTAAAAATGGAAAAAATTGTTTTTGCTAATTTTTTTTTCGATTTTTCAACCAAAATCCGTATGTTTTTTGCGCTTTTCAGTAGAATTAGTGTAGTTTGTAGTCTGAAAGGCAAATTTTGAGTATAAAATTGCTGAAAATTGAGCTGCAAATCTGCCAAAAATACAAACTACAAACTATAAAATCTCATTGTTTTCAGAATGACAACACAATGCACGATGGCCGTATGACGATTCATGTGAACTCGTACCTGGGCCGCCTGAAACAGACTGTAATTGGACGTGTCTACGTGGATGATGCAGATGATTGGGATCTGGGAGACAAGACGTTCTCCTGGAAAGACAGCCGTCCTGGATTCGAGCTCTCCGACAAGGGAGACATCACAATGGCAGCTGAAATGGCCGCCGGAACGTACACGATGAGTGCAAATGTACATGATAACGCCAGAGACGAGGACGCCGTCGGATACGTGACTGTCATTGTGAATGCCGTCCCACAGATTGCATTTGATAACCAAGGAAGTGTCCAGTTGCTGATAGCCGAGGAGACACCACTTCAACTACCCGACGATTTTATTCGAGCCGATTCGAATGGACAATCGCTGATGGACACGTTCAAACAGGAGATGGTCGCGTATATGGGTGGAGATGTCACTGTTGACGTCTTCTCCGTGCAGGTAAAGCCTTTTTTAAATGTGAAAATTTTCAAAAATTCGGAAATTTCAGATTTTGAGCCAAAAAACGATAAAAACTGTCAAATTTGAGCCATTTTGAGTCTTAAAAGAGGACTACGAAAATACCTGAAAAATCGGATAAGAATCTTCAAAAATTGCTGAAAAACCTAAAAAGGTCTAAAAATTGTGCAATAAAATTAGATTTTTTGAGCTTTTTGCAAGAATTTTTCGAATTTTTCTTAGTTTTTATATGAAACTACATACTTTTCTACCTTTTTGAAACCCCCTTTAAGCCTAAAAAAACGATATTTTGCACGAAAAACCAAAAAAAACTAGGTTAAATTCAGGTAGACTGGGCGAGTCGGCTGGGAAAAGTGGTAATTTTTGGTATTTGGAATGCTCTCTAGACGTGTTTCTTGTGAATTTCTAGATGATACTTTCTCCACAGCACGTATTAGAGCAAACGCGCTCCACCGGAACTTTTCGAAATTTTCAGTAGAGCGCACTTTCTTTCAAGCATCACCGTCCTACCCGATTTGTCTCTCTAATTTTTCCCAATTTTCAGGTCGGAATCGCCACCCTTCAAACCAGAGACGTCCCAGTCCTCAATGTCAGATTCAATGCACGTGGCAACGCCTACAGAGACACTGCTCAACTCAACGGACTCATCGCAGCGCATCGTGCGGATCTTCAGAGGAAACTCAACGTGGAAATCGTTGGCGTCGGCATCGATATGTGTAAATTCACCCAATGCGACGCCGGATGTCAAACGCTCAACTCTGCCGACTATGACGGTATCGTAGTGTCAGCCAATTCCACTGTCGTCGTTGGTGTCAATGCCACGTCACGCGACGATTGCACTTGTCCGGTGTGGAGGGCTCCACCCGCTTGCCAGCACTCGTTGTGCCATAATGACGGAGTGTGTCATAACACGAATCCTGGATTCTTCTGCGAGTGTAGAAATGATGGATTGAAGGGATCCAGATGCCAAGGAACGACGAGAAGCTTTGGAGGAAACGGTTTCGCCTGGTACAAGCCAATGCCCGCTTGCACTAGCTTGAACATCTCTTTCAGCTTTATGACAACGTAAGTGGCAAGAATTTTCATGAATTTTGAGCTAGAAATCATCGGTTTCAAATTTTACTGACGCTCAGAAAAATTTTTAGTTTGTAGTCCAGGAAATTTGACGATATTCTAGCCAAAAACCCAATGAAAACGGATGAAAACTAGCCGAGTTACAGAGATTTTAAGTTTTACTGAGGCTTAGAAATTTTTATAGTTTGTAGTCTGCAATTAGAAAATGCGGAAAATTTGACAAATTTCTATTTCAAAATCATCGAAAACGTTCGAAAACTAGCCGAGTTACAGCGGTTTCAAATTTTGCATTTTACTGAGGTGTAGGAATTTTGTAGTTTGTAGTCCAGGAAATTTTACAAGTTTCTAGCCAAAAATCGTTGAAAACGGAAGAAAACCAGCCGAGTTATAGCGATATTAAATTTTACTGAGGCAGACTACAAACTACAAAAGTCTCTAAGCCTCAGTAAAACTTCCAAACCGCTCTAAATCGGCTATTTTTTGCTCGATTTTGCTCATTACAACGCTTCGAAGTTTTACTGAGGCTTAGAAATTTGTGTAGTTTGTAGTCCAGTTCTGAATATGCTGAAAATGTGACATATTTTTGCGAAAAATCGTTGAAAACTGATGAAAACTGGCTGAGTTACGGCGATTTAAAATTTTACTTAGGCTTAGACTACAAACTACAAAAATTGCTAAGCCTCAGTGAAATTTCAAAAAGCTCTGAATCGGCTAGTTTTTGCTCGTTTTCGTTCGTTTTTCCTTCAAATTGCTCATCATAAAATCGTTTCCAGACAATCCGACGCGCTTCTCTTCTACAACGGACCACTGGAGACTCAACGCAACGACACCCATATCGAGTATTCCGACTACATCTTCATTCAGCTTCGCGGCGGTCGAATTTCTTTGGAAGTTTCGATGAACGGTCAATCGAGAAGCTCACTGGAAGTGGCATCGACAGCACTGAACGATGGCACGTGGCACGAGATCTCAGTGAATCAGGAGGGAAAACGAGTCGAGTTGGTTGTCGACAACTGCCGATTCTTAGGCGCCGGAGCCGATGATTCTAGTTGTCGTGCCGAATTGTACACTCCAGATGACGACGAACGTCTGAATATTGTGACACCTGTGCAGATTGGAGGACTGGCACCGCTTTCCGGACAAGACTATCCACAAACGATTCCACGTGGCGGTTTGAATGGATGCATTCGGAATTTGTACGTTAATGGAGATCAGTATGATTTGGCGACCCCGGCATTCGAGCAGAATACCGAGAAGGGATGTAGGTTGTGGGGATCCACGTGTGACTCGAATTCAGTCGACTCGCTGAATCATTGTATCCATGGAGACTGCTTTGCGGATGTTCAAGGATCTGGTGCCATGGTTGCCAAATGCGTGTGTGATCCAGGATGGGGTGGACCACGATGTGAACGACGAATGGAATGGATTCAATTCGCGCAAGGAGCCTTCATCGAGTACTCCCCCAAAATCGCCTTCCCAGAACAGGTGTCAGATATTGAACTGCTGTTTATCTCGGGAAAAGTCAACGGCGCGCCAGCTGAGCTCTCATTTGGCACGGATTCTCAACAGAGCTACGTGTCGACAAGCTTGGAATCAGGACAGAATGGGGTCACTGCTGCTGGAAAGTTTGATATTGGAAGTGGAGGAAAACGGGCACGACAAGAGCTCCGAGTATCTGAAGTGTTGCTGAAGGAGAATGCGTCGTATTGGCTGCAATTCACCAGAAATCCGACTCGGGCGAGTTTATCGATTGATAACGCGTATACGGTATCCACACAACTGGACAAGGGAGAGCCATTCTCGCTTCAAGTCAATCAGATCACACTCGGAACGCAGGGTCAGAATAAGGGATTCCAGGTGAGACAGGAATTCACAATTTAAATTAAATTAACAAGAATTTTTGTGAATTTTTAGAAAAATCGATTTCTAAAAATCCCAAAATTAAAAACCCTAAAAATTGTCTATAATTCAAGCCAAAAACGACAAAAATTTCTTGAAAATTAGCCGAGTTACAGCACTTTGAAGTTTTACTGAGGCTTAGACACTTTTTGTAGTTTGTAGCCTGGATTTAAAAAAAGCAGAAAATTTGACCATATCCCAAACAAACAATCAAAAAATGTTGGGAAATAACATATTTATAGCGATTTGAAGTTTTACTGAGGCTTAGACTACAAACTACAAATTAAAAATAAATATTTTTGTAGTTTGTAGTATTTGACAAATTTTGACTCAAAAATCATTGAAATCGGTCGAAAATAAGTGCGATCACAGTGATTTACAATTTTACTGAGGCTTAAAGTATTTTTGTAGTTTGTAGTCGCTAAGCCTGATTCGTGTCGAAAAACGATTAGAAACGGTTCAGTTGTAACCAAGTTAGAACGCTTTGAAAGTTTACTGAGGCTTAGCAACTTTTCGTAGTTTGTAGTCGCTTAGCCTCAGTAAAAACTTCAAATCGCCAAATCTCGGTCATTTCTGAATCGTTTTCGATTGTTTTTGCCTAGAAATTCGTCAAATTTTGGGCTAGACTACAAACTACAAAACTTTCTAAAAAATCGATTTCTGAAAATTCTAAAAATTGCAGGGTTGCATCGGAACGTATCGTTGGTCGAAACAGAATCTCCCACTGAAACGTGGCGGTGCTCTGGACGAAAACGAAGAATCGATTGTATCGATTGAGAATATGGCGGGCGTTCGAGATGGTTGTGATCTACGCATCACGTGTGCCGATCTACCAACCAACTACTGCGGCGGATCCTTCGCATGCGTCGACTTCTGGAAAGGACCATTCTGTACGTGTAACGACGGTGCCAACGCGATTCTGGGTGACGATGGACAAGTTGTCGGATGTGGAGAGACGTTGGCGGTGTCGAAATTGGGCATCAGCTCACCGGCTATCATCCTTATCATGGTTTCCATTGGACTGTTGTTCTTACTCCTTGCCTTGATGGTTGTCTACACAAGACGATCGCCTGCAGCATTTGAAAACGTTCAACCCGGAGACATGAATCGCGACAATTTGAGACCGTATGCTGTCGAAGGAGGAGGCGAGGCCGATAATGATCAGGTTAGTCCGGAAAAATGACGATTTTCTAGCCAAAAACCACTAAAATTGGATGAAACACAAAAACTACAAAAGTTTTTGGCATAGTTTCTTCCAAAAATGAGCTTTCTACGATGATTTTCAGCCGAGTTATGAGCAAAAAAATGATTTTTACTGAGGCTTAGAACATTTTGTAGTTTGTAGTCTCAGCCATTTATTTTGAGAACAGCCCCAAATTTGGAATATTTCTAAACAAAAACGACTCAAAACGGATGAAAACTAGCCGAGATACAGTGATTTCCAATTTTACTGAGGCTTAGAGACTACAAACTACAAAACTCTCTAAGCCTCAGTAAAAATTGAAATCACTGCAACTCGGCGAGTTATTAACCGTTTTCAATGATTTTTGGCTAGAAATATGTCAAAATTTGTGCTTTTTATGATCTGGACTACAAACTACAAAAAATGCTAAGCCTCAGGAAAACTTTAAAAACGCTCTAACTCGGCTAGTTTTTGCTAATTTTCACTCGTTAAAACGCTTCGAAGTTTTTACTGAGGCTTAGAGTATTTTGTAGTTTGTAGTCTGTTATCAGAGAATGCTTAAATTTTTACGAATTTCTAGCTAAAAAACACTAAAATGGGATGATAACTGGCTGAGTTACAACCATGACAAATTTTACTGAGGCTTAGACCACAAACTACAAAAATTTCCTAAGCCTCAGTGAAACTTCAAAGCGCTGTAACTCGGCTCATTTTCATGCGCTTTGGATCGCTTTTTAAATAGATTTTTGTTAAATCTTTTGGGAAAATTTTTTGAGACTACAAACTACACAATTTTCTAAGCCTCTGTAAAATTTTTTCCATTTATTTTTGTCTCTAAATGTGTATTTTTTTTCTGAATCTCAATATTTTGCAGTACTCAATCGCCGGACTGCGTAAACCAGTGATGCCGCTGGACACTGGAATGGGCGGTGGAATGGGCGGAGTTCCGCCATTGTATCCGCCACGTGGCATGATGAGTCATCCACCGAAAGACGATATGGAGCTGAATTCGAAGATCAAGGACCTGGAATCGGATCAAAACGCGGCGCCATACGATGAGCTGAGAATTTATGACGATGAGCGGGACAATATCTCAGTGGTCACTTTGGAAAGTATCGAAAGTGCACAGTAATTGAATCCTCTCTTATTTGTCTTTTTTTTATGATTTTGCGCTCCACTGGACTTTTTAAAACTTATTTACTTTCGCCTGAATTTTATAAGATTTATGAGGAAAAACATTTTCGGAAATTCAAATAGTCCAATGGAGCGCACTTTCTCTCCTCTCACTCATACTTCCCCATCTCAACCCTATATATCTCGGCCCCTGCGATACTCGTCCAACCGGTGTGTTGTGCTCTTTTTGTTGTTTTTTCTTGTAATTTTTATTTGAAATTTGAATTTCGCGGGTTTCTTGTTTTTTTTTGTCATTTTTTCTATGTACACCTTTTTATGCACCAACCATTCATCCCCCAAAATTGCTTTCACAAAATTTGAATTTTTTGGAATTTTTGCTCATTTTTTTCTTATATTTTTCCTCTTACATAATCACTTAAAATTCCCAAATTACCCCCAAACTTTCACCCAAAATTCACTTATCTATATAAATATTTATATGTATTTTTCTATGCCCCGCCCCCTCCCCTTTTTTAGTGTCTTCTTGCCACCCAATTCTGAATTTTTTGAAATCTTTACCCCCTCATTTTCACCACACACACACCCACACACTTTTCTCAAACGGGAAATCCACTAAAATCACCAACTTTTACCTTTTTCACTGTCTTTTTTTATCACAACAAACCCAATCACCTCGATGAAAACACATAATTTGATTTATATATAAAGAAATTTGATTTAAAAATTGTCTTTTTTTTCTTAAAATATGGCATTGGAAGTGGGCAATTAACTGATAATTAGAGGCAATTCGATAACTTTTCTATTTGATGATGGTAGGAAGATGAAGAAAAATATAATACCTTTTGACAGTTATACACAAAAATTCAGATTTTTAAAAAATCAATAAACCGCCGATCAATTCTGTTGTCTGGCGATTCTCATTCGATCTCTCAACGCCTTCAGCTGATCCAACGAGAAGTCTTTGAACATTTCGTCCAATTCTTCGACACGTGTCCTCTCCTTCTCATCCATTCCGTTCAGAATCGTTTCCCGCTGTCGCCGCTCGCGATTCCTCTCCGTCATCAACGTCTTCTGAAGTTGCTCCGTGCGTTTTTTGACGTCGTCGTACGATTTGAGAGCGACTTCCTGGAACAAAATTAAATTTTTGTGTGAAAAATGATATTTTTACTAGTTGTATTGTATAAAAATGGGTAGGAAACTATATAAATTCATATAAAACTCAGAAAAATCGCGTTTCGTCATTTCAGGAGGCTTCTAGAATCTTTTTTGGATTCCCGCCAAGATTGAAAATTGTGAAAAATTGATTTTTTTTTTGCAAAATTTTTAGACCTTTATAGGTTTTTCAGCTACTTTTGAAGATTCTTTTTTGATTTTTCCGCATTTTTTGTCTGAAATTCGACGGAAGATTACTGTAGATTACTGTATGTCATCTGGTCTAATGTCCAGTCTGAAAAACCTAATTCTTAGCCGGGGGCCTCCGCTCTTAAAGCTTTTTTTGGCTTTAAATGATTTTTAACACTATTTTCAGTCCAAAAACCCCCTAAAAATCTTTGAAAAATGGCTCCGGCGAAGCGAAAATTAAATTTCGACAATCCAGCGGACTCAACGATGAATTTCCAAGCCGATGCTAATTTTCCCAGACAAGTGAGGCACTACAAAATACACTGAAGGCAGAATTTTTCAAAAAAATTCTCGATCCTCAGTGGAAAATCCAAGGAATCGATATCGACGAGCG